TTTAATCTAAAGTGAAAGGTTTTGTAGTTAGTCAGTTTCCTAAGACCATGGCTTCTATCCGTTTTCTTCCAATCTATATATTTTCATGAGTGGTAAAAGGAAAAAAAAATATACAGACTTTCTAAAAAACTGCATTTGAACTTCCATTTTTGCAACTGCACATATGTAGTTTTATTTTACTCAAAAAATTACTGTTGATGACATCACTGGTCCTAAAAATTAAAGCAATTGCTCCAGTGTTCCAAACACAACTGGGCTCTGATTTCCCTCACAGGTGCTTCTGTTTGTTCACAGGGTTGATTTTGTTGCTCCCTTCTAAGAGTTTGAATTTGTTGTGGGAAATCCTAATGCCAGTCATCTTAGAGATGTATTCCAACCTAAATGGTGAACATTATGAGGTTTTTTTTTTTCTTTTTAAATTTTGCTTTGAGTAAACAGCCTCAAGATGTACCAGGGGAGGTTTAGGTTGAATGTTAAGGAAAAATTTCTTCACTCAAAGAGTTTCCAGCCCTGGCTGGTGCTGCCCAGAGCAGTGGTGGAGACCCCATCTCTGGAGGGATTTAAAAGCTGTGTGGATGTGGAACTTGGGGACATGGGCCAGTGGTGGCCTTGGCAGTGCTGGGGGGAACTCGATTATATTTTCCAACCTTAACCATTCTGTGATTCTGTTCTGTGATTCTGCTATGCATTGGAGTGTAATAGCAAGTCAGGGGGCCTCAGCCTCAAGGTAAGTAACTCAACCTTCACAGCCCCTTTGCAAGTAAAGCACCTTTGGGGGCCTAAAATGATCCTTCTGACCCACATCCCTGAAATATTAAGGCCTCCAACTCCTGTTTAAACAGTTTCTGTTTCAGTATATGTGAAATTAATTGCCATGGTCTATCTGTGCCTCTGAGAACATGGAGAGTGAGGGCCCTAAGTCATCGAGGTGTATTTGCTGTGGGAGCTGTGCAGTTTCCTCATCTCATTCCAAATCTGGAAAAAGCCCAGCTGCTGGTAACAAAATAGGCCTTACTACCTGAAGGCAGTTTTCCATGGCAAGACAAAGAGAAACTTCAGAAAGGTGTTAATTTGTGCCCAACAATTCACCTGTCATGCAGTGAATGAGGGAGAGGGAAACAATCAAGAAATAATTGAGAATAATCTTTTCAATGCACAGTCCTCCTTCCTCGTGGGTAGCATCTTTCTTAGCAGGTGAATTATGCCCAGCTGTGGCCAAATTCTGTGTAAATTCCTTCTCACTTAGTGTCAAGATTCAAAAGATTAGATAATTATCAACACCAGCATTCTTTATACTGTTTATATTTCATGTGCAGCCCAGTAAAACCAAACAGAACCTGCAGCAGGCCGGGAGGATCAGATAAAGGACACTGCATTGTTGCATTTCCCCAGATTTGGGCACTTGACATGAAACTGGGAGTCTTGGGGAGAACTGTGCACATCAGACATCATCAATGAGAGCTGCTTAGGAAGTGGCAGTCAGGCAGTTTATTTGAGTTAGACTTTTGGATAAAATGTGACTCCCAGCAGATGTCTCCCAGTAGTTAGGGTTTTTTTAAGCTTTACTTTTTAATTTATGTTTTTGTTTGTTTATTTGTTTTTTTATTAATTTCTCCCCCATGAATTACTTTTAATAGTATTTACTTATTTTATTTATGTATGTATTTCTTGTCAGAACTGCAAACACAATGCAAACTCTTTGCTGGTACTGGGAGGGAGGTAATCCAGGAAAATACCCCAAAATTTCTGCTCAGTGTCTTTCCTATGAGTCTGGTATCACCTGTGTAGCAGAAACAACATTGAAAAAAGAATGCTTGAAAAAGAAGGATGATCTGAATAGCATTTATCTGATGTCAAGACAAAAAAAACCCAAAAAAAAAAAAAACAAAAAAAAAAAAAAAAAACAACCAAAAAAACCAAAAAAACCCCAAACGAAAAAAAAAAAAAAACCAAAAAAAAAAAAAAAAAAAAAAAAAAAAAAAAAAAAACACCCAAAAAACCACCAACCAAAAAAACCAGTTTCAGTAATAAGATAAATTAGTTCTGTTAGCAAAGACAGTGTTTTGAACGATAATGGGAAAAAGCATAATATGCATGTTCTGACTGACTTACATGTCAAATTTCCAAATAGCTGTTATTTCCTGAGAGGTGATGGGAAGAATAAATTCACTGGATAGTGTGAAATGTAGAATTAATTCTGAATGAAGTGCGAAATCTTTCTAAATGGCTGGGACATAGCCTTCATATTTTGTTGTTTTTTGGTTCTGTGCGTATGATTTCTTTATGGTACTGCCAAAATGTCCCTGTTGCTCAGCAACAGCAGGCTGGAATAGCACCAGTCAGAGGAAATCTGCTGATTTGCACTGGGCATAAATCGTGTTCTCTTGCTGGAGTGCATATTTAGGCACAAGGGTGAAAGCAGCCTCTGTTGGTTTGCCTCTCTGGGGCACTCGTGGTGCTGGGTGGGGAGATCTCAGTTCAGACATTAAAATACCCTTTTACACTACAGTTTGAAAAATCACAGAACCAGAGAATGCTCTGGGTTGTGTTGGACACCTGAATGTCATCAGTCCAACCCCCTGCAATGGGCAGGGATATCTTCCACTGCACCAATGGCTCAGAGACCTGCCCAACTGGACCTTGATTTTTCCAGGGTTGGGGCATCTACCATATCTTGGGGCAGTGAGCCAGTGCCTCACCACCCTACCCATGAAAAGTTTATTCTTTTTATCTGGTCAGAATAGATCCTCTTTTAGTTTAAAGCCATCAACCCTTTTCCCATCAGGGCCCTGATAAAAATTTTGTCCACATTTTTCTTAAAGAGACTTTAAGTACTGAGAGTCCACAAAAAGATCTCCCCAGAGCCTTCTCTTCTCCAGGTGAACATTCCAGCTTTCCCAGCCTGGCTCCAAAGCAGAGGAGCTCCAACCCCAGGGCATCTCCATGGCCCTCTGCTCCAGGAATATTCTAGACAGAACATGACCTCATCTAGCCCCAGTCTGGGGGCATGTCCAGCATCTCCCCTGGGAATGAACCACTCCTGGCTTTGAGGAGGTTTCTGTGGCTCTGTTGACCCAGTGCTGTGCCTTGGGCTGTTTGTGCCTCCTGTATAGAGCCAGGCTTTGCACTTGCAGGTTTAAGGAGGTTTGATGCTGCAAAATGCCAAAGGACAGAGTGAGCTGCGGCTGTTCATCCTGGAGAAGGCTCTGAGGAGGACTTGGAGCCCCTTTGAGTGCCTAAAATTGCTCCAGGAGAGCTGGAGGAGGGTTTTGGCTAAGTCGTGGGTGGCAGGACAGGGAGAATGACAGGGGTTTACACTGCCAGAGGACAGGGACAGATTTTGGGATATTGGGAAGGAATTCCTGGCTCTGAGGGTGGTGAGGCCCTGGCACCAATTTCCCAGAGCAGCTGTGGCTGCCCCTGGATCCCTGGAAGTGTCCAAGGCCAGGCTGGATGGGGCCTGAACAAGCTGGGACAGTGGAAGGTGCCCCTGCCCATGGCAGGATAGATAGAACAAGGACCCTTTAACCCAAACAATTTTGTGATTCCATGATTCTGTGATAAACACAAAGAGCAGAATTTAAAAGTTTTCTACATATCCCACACACACTCATTTAAAAATTTTATTTTCCAGTGTCTTCTACACTACTTGTTTAAGAGGCAACCAATCTTTGGAAGAACTTAATGATAATAAAGAGAGAGAAACTTAAAGCAAGCTCAAAAAACTATGAATGTTTGTTTTAGAAATTAACTCCACAGAACATTATGTAGATATTTATTATTTTAAATCATGGAAATGCTACATTTTACAAATGGGAGTCAGTCATACAGAAATACTGTTGAACATCTGAAAACCTAAAACTTCACCAGAAGATACTGCCAACAGTTCATCACAAATATTTTACACCCAGGTCTTTGTGATATTTGCAAAAATACATGGTTCGGGGTCTTTTTTTCCCCTTCCCAAACTCAAAAATCATGCTAGATTTTACTTCATCTGCTACAAGGAAAACAGGTTTTTGGTTTGCTTTTCCTGGTGTGACGTCAATGCATGTAGGCTCCTGTCAGCTGAAGGACCTGTGCTCATGGAATATTTTTGGTGAAGATATGAGCTTCAGCATGAGACAGAGTATGTCAGTGAGCCAGGCAGAAAGGTGGCTGAGTTAATGCCTGTCGAGGTGATCCACACTGCGGGGTGCAAGGACGGCTTCCCTTTTCCCTCTGCCCTACCTGCACACCCTGGGAGCCTGGGCACAGGTGGCACATGGCTGGTGTCCTGCAGAGCTCTGCTGGACTGACCCCAAATGTCCCCTTCCCACTGTGGGGCAGAGAGGAAAGGCAGAGCAGCAGCTCCACAGAATCACAGAATCACAGAGTCGTTGCCAAGGCCACCACTGACCCATGTCCCCACGTGCCACCAGGCCTTTAAAACCCTCCAGGGATGGGGACGCCACTGCTGCCCCAAACAGCCTCTTCCTAGGCTTGATAACCATTTCTACAAAGATATTATCCCCAATAATCCAATCCAATTTAAACCTCTCCTGGCACAATTTGAGGCCATTTTCTCTCCTCCTGTCCCTGTTCCCTTGGAGCTGTCCCCTGGCTGTCCCCTCCTGTCAGGGAGCTGTGCAGAGCCACAAGTTCCCCCTGAGCCTCCTGAGCTTCAGCAGCAGGCTGGGGCAGTGCAGCATTTTGCTGTTTGATATTCCTGGGCTGAGTGGGACAGTGTAAGGAGAGGAGTTCAGAAGATCAGCTCAAATTAGCCCTTTTATTGCATAGGAAAGGGACAGCAATGACTTTCTTGCTGTCCCCTCCCTTGCTAACCCATCACCAAATTAAAATATTAAAAAAAATCATGAGATTAACACAAAAATCACAAAAATCATTTCTATCTTATGTTTGTTGATTGCTAATGGACATCTCTCTCCATGGAGTTTGAGAGGTCCTCCAGGTAGAATTCTTCACAACCTATTTTCTACTTGGCAAGGAGTGCTCTTTATTCCATTTTTCTGCTACAGTGAAACTCTCTAAGATGCCTTCTGTTGATGTCATAAGATGTTTAGCCATTAGTTTGAAGTCCCCTCATGTGCTGAAAGATGTTCTTTATTTCTTTATGTCTGATTTTGATGTCTTCAATTTCAGAGAGAGATTTTTCTTTTCAGCTTATAAGTAATTTTCCCATTGCTTATAATTCAAGTATCTTTTCAGACCTGTGTGCTTTAAAATCATAACAGGTTGATACTGGGGAATGGTCCTTCCAGCACAGCCCAGTCCTACCTAATAGAAATCTTCTTAATAGATGTGGTGAGAAAAGTCTCTCCACACAGAGGGTGGCGTTGGACATTGCAGCACACAAATCACAGTCTGTTGGGCAAACACCTCGTGCTCCTGCCTTAAAATGAGCTGAGTTTCTCTCTTCTTGGGTCTCTATGCCTCACAGCAGGACTTCTCGTGTTTCTTCATCATCAGATAATAAGCTCTGTTGGCTTCTGGGTAGGTGACTTTGGAGAGTGGCAGCCTGCAGATCGCAGAGTGGCTTGTGGTCATTAGCAGGAAGGTCAGTGCAGACAGGCAAAAAGGCCAGGTTCCAGATGGCACCCCAAACTGCAAAGAAAAATTACAAACCACCCATTTACTACGTGTCTTTCTTTTATTAGAGTAAGACCCAGAGCCAGACACCTTGGAACAAGTTTTCTGGAGGAAGTCAGGACTCGGTTTTGCATTGAGCCTTTCCTTAGGGAGGCTGGGTTTCTTTATGATGTCTTGACATTGTGCATCAGCCTGAAACATCTGCCAGCTCTGGTGAGTGGGCTGCCTCATTGCTTTGGGGAAGGTTTCTTGGGTGGGCATGAGGTAGGAGAGGGTGACAATGAGACAGGAGAGCAGATACCAGAAACATTCAGCCTTTCCCTGGGCTGTGGTACTGACTGACTTTTGGCAACTGAGAAAAGAAGTTAACCCAAATTCAATGTTTCTTTAACATGGACAAGGCCCTTTTTCCAATTGCTTCAGGCATGAAGTAAATATCTGAAAGAGGGGAGATATTCCAGCAGCCTGCCAGTGCCTAAAGCAGGTCCAGGAGAGCTGGAGAGGCACTTTGGGGAAGGGCCTAGACGGAATAAGGGGGAATGGCTTTCCTCTGACAGAGGGCAGGGTTAGATTGGATATGGGGAGGAATTCTTCCCTGTGAGGGTGGTGAGGCCCTGGCACAGGGTGCCCAGAGAAGCTGTGGCTGCCTCATTCCTGGAAGTGTTCAAGGATAGATGGGTCTTGGAGAACCCTGGGACAGTGGAAGGCGTCTGTGCCCATGGCAGGGGGTGGAACTTAATGAGTTTTAAGGTGCCTTCCAACCCAAACCATTCCATGGTTCTGTGATCTCATAAGTGCCTAGAGCTGAGCTGTGGAAGTTCATATGAACTCTTAGGATGGAAAGTGGCAAGTGATAATTCCAAGTCACCAGTTCCAGTGGGAATCACACCACCCAGATAGAAACCCTTCTTCCAGACTGTTTCTGCCTTTGGCTGAATTTTTCTTCACATCTTGGTGTCTTGTCTGACAAGCCAGGGAAATCAGCCCTTAGCTGATACACTACTTACCACAGACAACATGTGGGTCACTGCTGCTCCCAAGTAGGCACTGAAGAGTGCTGTGGAAAAGAAAGGCAGTTCCTGGTGAGTTCAGTTGCTCATGGAGTAGAACAGCAATGACAAACATCTCTCCTTCTGCCTTGGGTAGCTCAACCAGTGGTTAACACCCTGTCTGGGTAGTACCTTGCTAAACCCCTTCCTGGGTCCCCTCCAACCTGGACCTTATGGGAGGGGCAAAACAAACAAACAAAAACAAACCAACAAACAAAAAGGGAGTGATCAAAAATGTGCAATGGTATCATGGGCTTTTGAAAAATGCACTGACATGGAAGTATGTAGCTTGATGGATGGGGTTAAATAGGAAAATAACCCTTCTACTCTCATCTGTCCTGCCTCCAGGGCTTGAAGGTGGGTCAATGACATACAGAGCTAAATCTCTCTTATATGAGCACTGAATGAGCAATAGTTTCACTCCCAACTCGCTCTGATATTGAAATTTCATATGGAATTGCCTTATAAATAATTCTTCAATCCTGCTGTGTTGCCTAGCTCATGCCTTTGATCCATTTCAAGAGAATGGAGAGTGTATACTGTCTAACTAGAGCAGAGCTCCACTCTTCTCAAAGATTAGGCATGTCCTTCTTCAAAGAAGGAATTTGAGCTGGTATCCGTGGCTGGAAAAAAACACCCGTGATTCATCCAGCAATGAGCGAACGGACACAATTAATGACTCAAAAAAACAAAGCATCTGATTTCAAAGACCTCAGTTAACACGTGTCCACTGATCACAGCTCTTTCCTTAAACACAACTCCTGGCCAAAAACGAAAACAGAGTGTGTTAAAGCCGTGCCTCCAACACCCAGCCCCACCGCTCGTCAGCCTCACCTAAATCCATCTGCCTTCCTGCCTGGAGTGCCCATCTGGCTGCAGCCCACCTCTGCTGCAAAGGCATCCTGTCTCACTTCAAGGGGAGGTGCAAACCTGCCAGGTACCTACCGCAGGCCATGGCCAGGAGGTGTGTCTGCCAGGTGAGAGCCAGGAACATGCCCCCGATGGCAGCGCAGGACAGGGAGCTGTTGTAGCCCCACAGCCCCGAGTAGATTTGGTCAAACGGCGTTGCCAAGCTCAGCCCTGGAAAATAAAGTCAGAGAAATGTGTCATTTCTTGGCCAAAGAGATGAAAGCGCTGGAGAAGTGGCACGAATCCAGATTTTCAAAGGTTCTAGCCAGCATTTGTATGTGGGGCTGTTTGTAGTCGTGTTGCTAAGGTCTAGGGGTCTAAGGGAATCGGGGCAGAATTTTCCTGTTGCTGCTGAGCTGACTTTGCTGATTTGATTGCAGCAGAACACACACGAGTGAATGAGCCTACATGTGAACCTTAAATGAATCCCTGAGGCCTGCATGTTCAGGCTGATGGCTATGACTTTCATTGATCTTCTCCTAAACCCACCAGGATACACCCAGAAATTAAGTATTTTGTGGTAAAAATTAATCTCAGCTCAACAGGCACTTTTTTCTTCTGAAGGTTTCCACCTTCATAAAACAAGGTAGGAGAATGGGGAAGTGAATCAAAAGAATTCTTAAAACAGAAGTTTGATTATATTTTGTTTCACATCAGCCATTCTCCATTGGGAGAAATTCTTGTGGCTTTAATTGCTCCACTTATTGTAGCTTCTGTTTTACTCGCCATGCTTTTATATAAATCTGTGGCACAGGCCAAACCATTACCTGCCAGCATCCCCACTGCTGAGCCGATCACTGTGTGGATACAAATGAGTGGAGAGGAGATAAATAAACCAATCAGGAAAATTCCCCCAGTCCAGGGATTGTCACAGCCATAAACCTGGCCCACGCCGACTGGGATGGATCGCAGGAGCTGTAGAAATTAACAAACCAAACAAGACAATTTGTTATCAGCTTTGTAACCATTTTTTTTTTTTTTTTTTTTTGTTTTTAAACCTATTTTTCTTGGCCAGGCTCACGTTTGGCATTTGTTGGATGCAGTCTTTCTTTTTAAATGGAACATTTGTACAGGTCTCAGGAGATGACAGCAGGGCATTTCCACAGGGTTTCCCCTTCCATGAAAGTGAGTCATGGCTTGTTCACTAGCCCTGAGCTCCTCTGCCAGGTTTTTGCTCTAAGATCAAAGGTAGAGATTTTGTGAAAGGGCTTAATCATCCTCTTGCATGTGCTGCTGACTGGACCATTTCTGCATATCCATAGAGAGTGAACTTAGGGGATGGTTGGGATCCACTAGAAATATGAGCAATATGTCTGGTGGGACAGAGCCCAGCTTGGTCACAGCTTAGAGATGGTTTTGGGAACTTTTTGTATACAGTCCCCATAAAACTATGTGCCACGGTAAGTGTTCTTTGAGAAATGTCACTTGAGGGTTTCTGTTTAGTGTCAATTAACTTCCTTTTCTTAATCACTCCCTGGGAACCCCTTAAAATAGTCAGCTGAGCCTTAGGAGAAAGTAGTTACTCTGGTATCTGCATTGTTTGTGGTATAATCCAGGAGAATAAAATGTTCCTTTGGAAAGGTCCCACTTGGATATAAATTAAAAATATGTGAATGTGTACCTGCGCCCAAGTTTTTAACCTTTCTAACACAGTAATATCTGCTTGCTGATGTCTAGTCAGAAAGATGTAACTTTATAAACAGCCTGTATCTGAAAAATTAAAATTACCCTGTGAGTTAACTGGAATTCTCAGCACAACCTTAGCTATGGGAAGATGATCAGTATATGCATAGAAATAGAAATAGGTAATTAGATTCAAGACAGTATTTGAAGATCATAATCTATACAGTTGGATCCAACTGCACATGAAAAGATTGTCTTCGACAGCTTTTCAGGCTATCAGAATATACATTCCTAGAGTAAACCCTTATATTTTGGATATTAGTTCTCTTATAAATTAAATTTTGTACTGCCAGGCCATAATGCAGTATTGCATTATGGATGTGGAACCCATTGGAGCCAGTGCAGAGGAGGCACGGAGATGCTGCCAGGGCTGGAGCCCCTCTGCTCTGGAGCCAGCCTGGCCCAGCTGGGGCTGTTCCCCTGCACAAGAGAAGGCTCCAGGGACACCTCAGAGCCCCTGCCAGGGCCTCCAGGGGCTCCAGGAGAGCTGCACAGGGACTGGGGACAAGGCCTGCAGGGACAGCACACAGGCAATGGCTGCCACTGCCACAGGGCAGGCACAGATTTTGGCATCTTGGGCAGGAATTGCTGGCTGGCAGGGTGGGCAGGCCCTGGCACAGGGTGCCCAGAGCAGCTGTGGCTGCCCCTGGATCCCTGGCAGTGCCCAAAGCCAGGCTGGATGGGGCTTGGAGCACCTGGGACAGTGAAACGTGTCCCTGCCCATGGCAGGGGGTGGCACTGGATGGTCGTTTAAGGTCCCATCCAACCCGATCCATAGGAATTTATAAAAGAAGATAATGTGTTTCTGTAGTGTTTTTAACTGTAAATGAAGGGGACTGTCACACCTAAGGCATCCTACCATTGTGATTTCAGCCTCTGCCCAGGAGATGTTTGGTGTTGCCGTCGCAGGATGAATGACAGTCGTAGGGAAGAAGAGGTTGTGTGGCCCCGAAGCAGCCAGGTAGAGGGTCAAGGCCAAGTTGAAAGGCAAGGTGAGAACAGGCAGGTCCCACTTAGAGAAAACTGCACTTAAAGCACTGGTGAAAATAGGGCTGAAAGAAGAACAAAATGAAGCCTGTCAGATGGGCAAAAATCACACCAGAACCACATCCAACTGTAAACCCAGCTGCAGAAAATTTGGTCTATTTAAAACAAACAAAAAAACCAACTAAACAAAAAAACCCCTTTCTCCTGCTTCTCTCTGTTTAATGTCCTCAGTTTTTCTGATCAAATCAGAGACAGAAAGGGTCACTCCATAAATTTCTTACCTCTCCAAAGGCAATTATCAATGTACACGTTCCTGTCATGTTACGTTAGTATGTACAGTGAATTTGGTAAACGTGAAGGAGACGGGATCCAGTGCTTTAATGGAGTTATTCCCCAGCCCAATTTTAGTGTTTACCCTTTTTTTTTAGCACCTGAGGTGGACTGAGACTCTGATACCCATGCTGGGTCTGAGTGAACTGTGAACTGTGAATGTGGCTGGGTGCCCTTGCTCAGGCTTGTGCATCAGCAGTAAAAGCTGACATCAAAGTGACTGTAACACCACATGAAATTCAGACAGACAAATTACATGTGTGGTTTTAGCAATCTGCAGCTAGACATTTTGGGGTCAAAGACCAGGTTTCAAAATTTTCTGCTGGCCAAATACCTAGTGGATTATGGTGTCATACATACGAGTAAAATATTACTAGTTGTTTGTTTTGATTAGTGTCAACCATCATGTCTTGGGACCACTGAACAGCTTCTGTACTTGGAGAAGTAAATTTTCATGACATTTTTATATGGTGACTTAAATAGATGAAACGCTTGTGGTTGATGATGGTAGGAAATAGTGAAAATAATGTTCCTCTTGAAACAGAAATGAATTGATGCATCACAGCAATATGAGTCATGTTCAGAACATTGAATTACACATGATCAGCCACTGATTTTTGTTTTCTCCACTGGGATTATTTGTGATTATGTGAGCATTTTTATTTGTTTCTGGATTACATCTGAGTTTAAAAGTGTAAATAACAATGCAGATTTAACAGTACATGTGTGTTAGTTGTGTTCCCTTTCCACTGCCGGCGGCATAGAAATGCAGCAGCTCAGTCCCAGGTGTGGGGACTCTGGGGCTGGAAGGAGAAGCAGAGGAGCCATCTGTCTTACCAGGTCATGGACACCAGTGCCACAGGCAAGAGGAGCCACCAGTTGTAGTCTCCATCAGCAGAGAAGACAGCCATCAGCAATCCCACCAAGACCCCGTTGTATCCATACAGGCCTGCTGCTATGGCTGATCTGTGTGGAGGGAACAGCTGTGCTGAAGTCCTCTCCCCTGAGGATGCTTGCTCACATCAGCCCTCCCTCCCCAGCTGTGGCTCTGTTTGGGGATGACCTGCTGGAACTCGTCCACCAAAATCCAATTTCGCACACTTGGGTCAGCGCCCACCCTTTCTGCAGGTTTGTCCAGTGTCCCCCTGCACCAGGTGCAGCTGCTGGGAGACTTCTCTGGTCCTACCAGACCAGATACATGCCCAGTCACGGCTGGATCACACAATCATGGAAGGGCTGGGTTGGAAAGAACTTTAGATTTCACCTTGTTCCAACCCTATGCCATGGGCAGGGACACCTCCCACTAAGTTCAGGCTTCTCATCCACATCAAACATCTAACACATAAATCAGCACTGAAGGGGCCACCTGCAGGGGAAAAGGATGGACTTACCTGTCCTGACCCAGAATAAGTGCTGTTAAAGTTGAGACAAGTGTTCCCACACATCCTGTGAGTGTCCACCACGGGTTCTGCAGCAGGAGGCCAGCCAGAATGACCAGCCCACTGAGCGGGTTGTTGACAAACATCACCTGGGATATCCCACGCAGCACCCAGTCAAGGAGCTGGATCATGAGAGGTTTGTCTGGAAAAGATCAAATCCTCTAATAAAACAAGCCCCCTAAAGTCTGCAGATGGTACTGATTTGGGATGTATTTTTGAAACTGAGGAAAAGTTTTGGCAGTGGGACTTGGCACCACGACTGCAGCAATGAATCAACAAGACTGTAAAGCCTGACAGGGATTTATTATGGTCCACAGTGAAGGCTTACAGCTGGAAAACTGAGATGAACAGTGAGGTTGCCAGAACCCTGTGTTATAAAGTACCCTGGACCAGATTCATATGAACCAGCTAATTTATGATGTCTGTGGCTCAGATGGCAAATCGTGTGTGTATCCCACTGCTGATTTATTGCAGGGACCAAACACACCTACCTATGTGTAATTTAACTTCACAGTGGCATTAGGCTTGACAGAAACTGCTCAGCTGAAAGGACATGGAGTGTTAAGAAGAATGGCAGAGTACAGAATAACCATCCAGGGCTATGTTCTGTGGGACTAAATTCACTTTGTACATGGCATGCTGGGAGGTAAATGTCATCTCAGACACCCCCAAGATTTAAGCACTATGTGGATCTCTGCACAAAGCTGATTTTTTTCCCCTACAAAATGGACATAAATCAGGGTAGAGGTAGTTTCTGTACTACTCTAACTTGAATCAAATCACAAAGAAGTTAGTTATTACTCCTTTGATGTACTTTTTTTTTTTTTTTTTAATCCACTGTCATTAGTCATGATGAAGTAGGTTTACCTTTCAGCCAGGTTCCAAAATCCTTCATGTCTCCAGTGAGGTAACCCACAGCTCTGCAGAAACTCTTCCCACCTGTGCTTAGTGGATTCTGCTTCATTGGCATTCTTTCCCCGTTGGTTTCTATCTTGACATCAACACAGTTTTCCATCTTGATGTTCTGAACCTTTGGTAAAATTCAAGGGAAAAGAAAAAAAAGGCAGTTAATTACAATGTCTCTTTCTGATCCATGTTTATTCTCTTTACCACATAACTGCTCACCACATGTTGCTTTGGAACCAGAAAGAGGAAAATCCTTACTCTGAGCACCTGATTCTTTTGTGTCCGTGAGCACATTATCTCTTCACGTTCCCTGTTCTCCCAGACTTCCACACAGTTATAAGAATATGTCTCATTTACTAAGCTTCTCTGCTGCTTAACCCATACTTCCAGTTTGAATTAATCCATCAGCCATCAATAATAGGCACCTAAATTCAGTTTCATAATCACCTGTTGGGATCAGTTCAACCTTTCTCATGAGCACAGGCTTAGCCTGGGGTTGTCCATGGTGCCTTGTTCCATTACTCACATGCATTCATACATTCCTTTTTCTCATTGAACTGCACTTTAAGCTGACCAATCTTTAGAAGTACCCAGCCTTGATTCAAGAGTTTGATGCCCAAATTCACAGTTCTTGTTTCCACTCTGCCTTAGTCATGGTGCTTTCTTCTCTGCTGAGACAATATTGGGGACTGCATGTTAGAAGCTGTAGTAAGAAACCCTTGAGGTTTCTTCTAATGAAAATACACTTATTAAATTTACCAGATGATATAAAAGGTTTAAATAAGATAGGGGACTGCTATAGGCCCAGCAAAGGTGTTTAGGCCTAAATAAGGTGTTTGGGGTGCAGGACTGGGAGATGGGGTTCCCTTTGGGACACACACCCATTGCATAAGGAGTTGCTGGAATAACCTTTGACACCTCATACAGCTGCACAGCATTATTCAGGCACCTGGATCAGAGGCTTACACCTAACAGCAAAAATCAGTGCCTACAGCCAATTCACTGTTTGTCTAAGAGCCAATTCTGAATATGAAGTCATCAAATAAATAAAAATCCCTATTCCTGGAGCATACTCTGTTTCCTGAATGAATTCTTGGTGATTATCAAGCAAACACCAAAGTGTGTTGTTGTGTGAATACAGAACCAGTGGTGCTTCAGGTCTCAGTGGTGAATGCCAGCTTGTGCAAGAATTTAATGAATTTATACTGGGAGCTGATAGTCTAAATAGGATGATACAGGCACATAGGTCTTGTGTTAGTTCTTGACTCTCTCAAAGCTTTATTAAAGGCCTTGTAAACAGCAGGGGGACAGAACCCATGCTCAGAAACACAGGTGCTGAGTACTTAAGCTTCTTCATCCCTGGGCATTGCACCCTCCAGTGTGGTTAAGCAGCTCTGAGTCTGTGTAGGGGAAAGCCTGGATAATGCAGCATTGGTTAATCCTGGCCATTTTCTTATTCTTGTGGTACTGGAGGGCTGGTGGTGGCGTTTCAGGAAACAGTAAATATTTGCATAAATAAGAAATGGACATTTTTTCTGCTTTCTGGAAGAGCTCAGCTAGTAAAAGGATAGGTTCCATATGAGAGGCTGATTACAGGACCAGTATATACAGTAAAGTATATACAGAGTTTGGCTTTGTATAGGACATGAAGGTAAGGACCTGGAATAAAAAGGCAAAGGAAGAAATGAAGAGGAGGAAAGAGTGGTGCTAGGGATGGTGTCTTGATACAGGAAGGCATTTTTTGGGTTTTTTATAATTCATTATATTAATTCATTAACCTTCACTTTTTTCATACTTTATTCTGGAATAAATGAACAGAATGTACTTTCAATTAAATCAAAATTTCCAGCCAAGATAAACACTCTCCATTTGGTGAAAGTGCATTTACATTTTCCCTTTCAAAGGATCTCCCTCTTTATGCAGCTTGGGCTTTCCCTGTTTCTAACCTGTAGAATGAAGTGCTGCTGCATTGCAGAGTGATGCTGTGAGACCCTGGGTGTTCCCCTGCATGCTGAGTGAGGAGCTGTTTGCACTCAGGAGCCTGCAGAATGGGATGTATTGTGCATGTGAAGTGCTGGAGTCACTGTCCTGTCCACTTGTACAGTGGGGACAAAAAATGGATGAGGCTGAGGGCCTGAATTCACCAAGAAATGGATGTATTGCTTTGCCATATAAAGGCAAGAGTGAGCTGGCAGTGCTCCTCTGCCCTGGGTTTCCACGGGCAGAAATGGAGCCAGCTCACTGCAGCTGGCACGGCAAGCACACCAGGTGACCTGGTGAGTCACTTGCACTAACCTGTCTCCAACTTCACACCCAGTGAGTGCCCAGCGCGTTCCGGAGCATTCGGAGTCACAGAGGCTGCGGGGTGACCGTGGTCACCTTCTGTCCTGCAGTGCTGCTCAGCTCGTGTTCATTGTGTCACAGAATCATAGAATACTTCGTGCTGGAAGGGGCCTTTAAAGATCACCTATTCCAACCCCTCAGGCACTCCCATTTGAGCTAGGGATGGGTTTCTCTTGAGGGAGCACAGGAATTTCATCCCTTCAGCAGAGCAGGACAAGGGAGAGCGGCTTCAAACTGAGACAGGGCAGGGTTAGATTAGACATTAGGAAGAAATTGTTCCATGTCAGAATGGGAGGCCCTGTCAGAGACTGCCCAGAGAAACTGTGGTTGAACCATCCCTGGAAAAGTTCAAGGCCAGGTTGGATAAGTCTTGGAGCACCCTGATCTAGTGGAAAGTGTCCCTGCCCATAGCAGGGAGTGGGGCTGGATGAGCTTTAAAGATCCCTCCCAACCCAATCATTCTGTGATTATTTATGCTGAGGGAGAATTAAACCATTATTGAACAGCCTCCTCATCTGCACAGCAGCCAGGTGGGAACTGGATGTAGGCCAAGAAAACCTTTGGTTTGGGATGGGGTCTTCATGACACAGTAGAGACCCAGATCCAGCCCCACTGGTTTCATGACTTCCCTGAATCCCACCCCAGGCACTGTGTGGGGGCTGCATCCTGTCTGAGGGGGTTTGTTGGCTCTGAGGCTTGTCCCATCTATTCAGAAACACAAAGTACGAAGGACTTGAGCTACTTCTGCTTAGTTGTCCAATAAAAGCTCAAAGAGGCAGTGAAGCACTTGGAAACTGGCACCAGCATAAACGTTTTTAGGCATTTTTAGTGATTTTACAAAGCAGTACCTATCATATATATGCATAGATGAATGATGGTTAACACATTAAGTTGCTTCAGGGAGTAGGTGATAGCAGGTATTTAGGAAAGGAGAGAATGCAAAAGGTGTTTTATCTCAGAATTGTGGATATGCTCAGAGAATTTTAACACAGTGAGATTTGAATAACAATACAGACTGAAGTGTACATGTTCTGATGGGCATTTCATGTGTGCTGGTCTGCAGCAGGTCTTTTGAAGACCTGCAGCTGAAGTTATGCAAACACATGGTTTTCACTGAAAGTGTTGTTTCTTCTTAGTGCACAAAGCAAGGAAATGGAAATAATTGCAAAAGGAAAATGGAAATAATGCAAATGGAAATAATTGCAAAAGTCTGTTCTGCTGGAACAGACTGCTTGGCTTCTGCAGGGGGGTAGGTTTGCTAATTTTTTAATTCTTGATTTCTATTAATCTGGGAAAAAATTTTTTTGAAGACTAAGTCCTGTTCTCAGACAGCTTGGAGCAGACTGCCTTGTCTCACATAAACTCTCAAGAGGTGTTCCAGCCCTGCAGTGCAAGCTCCCAGTACTGGTGTGTAACTGGTGGATACAGGAGCAGCAGCAAAACCCAGGCAAAGCCATCTGCATGCACTTTTCACCTCAGTGGTGCAAATGCAAGTGGTTTGTATTGTGCTGTAAGTGCAGAGAAACTACTGAAAACCATTTTCATGGGAAGTGAGAGCTTCCCATGAAACAAAGCAGAAAACATAGATGTTTCTCTTTCATGAAGATGAAATCATCACAGGGCCGAGATGTTAATCTACCGTGTTTTTTTAATCATCCTTTCAGAGTTAATAAATGTCCTGTAGCAAAGTACTGACGTTATGCAACCCCGTGTCTCCCTAAATCAATTTTCCTTCCACTTGTGTACACTTCCCACGTGTCACCCACGGCATCTCAGTCATGCCTTCTAGAGCTGGCTCTGTGCTGGGCTGCGCTCCCGCAGCACCTGGCCCTGCAAACACTCCTTTATTCACCTGCTGAGGGGGAGACAAGCCTGGCCACAGGTTGGTTTTGTGTCGTGCATGCTAAGAGCAGTGCTGGGCTTGCAGCTGGGAGAGGAACAGAGTTTTTAGTTCGGCTGATTAATGCTCCAGGTAATGGGTGCTTCCAAGCTTGGACATGGGGCTTTTACCTGTGAAAATGCAGCAAAGCCATCTAGTGCTTTCTCTCCTTTCTGGAGTTTTCCTCTCTCCCTGCCAAAATCCAGGTTTCTCTGAGGGTTTAATTTATGGTGAGGTATTTGTTTGTGCAAGGACCTGCTACCACACAATCGCAGCCATTGTATCTTGCATTCTCTGAATTGTTGCTGTGAAGTCTGCAGCAGCCAAGCTCTGTGAGCAGCTTGTTTTTAGAGGAATTCCTGCATCCAAGCACAATAGGAGGAAAGGGCCAGACTCTCAGCAGCTCTAATTCCAGCACAGCCTGTGTGATGTTACCAGGGGTGTAGTAAAGCTGGATTAATATTGTGTTAGGCATGGGAACACATGCAAGCACAAGCACAATCCTTGAAACAGGTTATAATGCACTTGACCCTCACTGGAAGAAAATAGTTCAGGTTCTCCCATAGAAGATATATTTCAAAGTATTAGTTAAAAAGAAAGCTTACACCTCAGATTCAAATATTCATTAAGCTCACATGCAATTCAGTGTTCAGAGACCTGTCTCTCAGGGACAGAGAAATACAGAGACACTATCTCATCAGCTGTGTAATATTACTATCTGGGCATTTTCATTTGGCAGAATGGAAAGGCAGTAAAAAGAAATGTTAAAGAGTTCTGGTTATTTCTTTTAAAAAATTATGTCTTTTCTCTATTTCCTCCAAGGCTCGGCCACCTGAGCTAAGCAATACTAACAAATCCTCACCCTGCTAGAAGCTTCTTGATAACTGATATTCTTGTGCTCCTCCTGAGCCTCAGCTGCTCTCCTTCAGCAGGACTGCTCGAATGCTGTTTGCCAGGTGTTGAGGGAGAGGAAAGACCCAGGTAAGTCAGTAACAAGCTGCTTTAAAAGGAAAGAACAGAGTGCTCTTACCTCTCAGACGAGCTCGGGAGTAGCTGTAAGTTTGCTGGTTAGGCCAGAAGGAAAGTAGGGAAAAAGAAAATGTCCCACCAGCTTATATAGGCTAGCATGGCTCCTGTCCTGATATTACTGATTTGTTTCTCCTCCCACTTAGTGAGTTCCAAGTGAATGTTAAGAAAGTTCCCCTTTGAATTCTCCACCTTTCCTCTTGCTCTGTCCTGCGTCTCTTGCCAACAAGCTATCTGAATGTCCTCTTTCCTGCTGTTGGTTTTTAAAAAAAATATTTTATTTTTACTTTTTCTTTTTAAAAAAATATCCTTTAACTTTGTCCCTTCTCCTTCTCTACCACTTAAAAGAACAGAAGATTTTAAAATGGACTCTTAGTGTATCTGAGCTTGACCTCAAGTTCATCCTCAGCATTATCTTCTTTATTCAATACAACTTAGCATCCTTTCCTATCAAAATTCTGACCTGGGAATGTGCAACACAGCAATTTGTGTTCAGCAGCCTATCAAGTTTTCTTATTTCTGGGTAGCTTTCAGAAGCACTGTTTTGTTAATGAAATGCAAAGGAAGACCTGTTGACTTTCCAAAGTTTAATTGCTTTTTATCAATTATTTGAGAAATTCAAGGGGTATTTTTCTTTATTTTCTTTTTTTAAGAAAAAAGATTTTAACCTATCCTCCCCATCTCACTGGAGGAATCTGAAATATCAGAAGTGTGGCATATTTGAGAGGTTTATAAAGCTGTGAAAGTGCTGCAAATGACAGAGAAGAGGCTGGAGAGGGAAGTCTTGAATAATAATGCAGGAGAAAGGGCAGAGAAGAAGACGGTGAACTTGAGGGACCTTATAGGCTAATTGAAGCCATAGTAGAATTCACTTTAGGACTCTTTCACAGTGATGGCTGAGAGAAGCAACCTTGCAAATTGATCTGGGTGCTGGAGAGAATGGTTTATGGTTAAACCAGAACCCATCTAGCTTTATGACTTTGCTTCCCCCAGCGCTGTGGCAACAGCCTCAGCATGCACATGAGCTGGGGGGATGTTATTCTCACTGCACTCATTCCCAGGGTCCATCTCTTTTGATGGAGATGTTTTTAACAGCAGACTGGATTTTTTTTTCTCCCCTAAGAGGAGGGCATCTGATATAAGCTGTCAGCTTAGCCTTGCTGCAAAAGCTAGTCTTCCTCTGATCAAACAGGCAGCAGCCCTTGTGAGTGAGCCAGACACTGTCATCCTACGCCTTTGCACCCAGTAGAACATGAAATTTTGCAGGGGAAGCTGCTTCACTCTAGTGCAGTTAACATATTTTCCCTTTACCATTAATTTCTCCTTGGGATGTCTTTGCTTTCTGACTGGTAAAATGAATCCTTGCATGTCCAAAGAAGGGAAATGCATTGGGTGATTTGGATGGGAAAGCCTCACAGGGATTCTGTTCAGACTGAGTTTTAATCGTCACACCTCTCATATTTCAGGGTTGCCCAGGCCTGGCTTCAAGTTATTTCAAGCAAAATCTTTTCAACTCTCCTTCAAAGGGGTGCAGCACATGGGGCAGGCAGGGCTCCTGGATTGTGTTGTAGGGTATTTTTCCTCCTGGGAAAGAAATACCCTGCAACAGGGAATCACAAGATTCACAGAATATTCTGAGTTGGAAGGGACCCACAAGAAACATCAAGTCCAGCTCTTAAGTAAATGGATCATACCGGGAATGAACTCACAGTCTTGGTGATATTAGCACCATGCTCTGACCAATGGAGCTAAAATCAGGATCACGGAATCCCAGAATGTTTTGGCTTGGAAGAGACTTTAGAGCCCCTCTCATTCCACCCCCTGCCTTGTGCAGGGACACCTTCCACTATCCCAAGTTGTTTCAAGCCCTGCCCAACCCAGCCTGGAACACTTCCAGGGATGGGGCAGCCACAGGGACTGTGCCAGGGCCTCCCCACCCTCGCAGGGAACAATCTCTTCCCAACATCCAGTCTCGACTGCTCTCTGTCAGCACGAAGCCACTCCCACCTGTCCTGTCACCACGTCCTTGTACAAAGGAACCAGATTCAGGACTGCTCTGTCTGATTCTGGTGCCTTAATGAGGGGTTTGGCAGGTTGGATCGACACACAAAAAAGCCAGTGGCTGGCGGGTCAGTGATGGATATCTTGGAGTGGTGCATTGTTTGTATTATCAGAGATGGTTAATAAGTAACAGGATCACAGTCTGCTGATGCCCGTGTGGGAGCGAGGCCCTGGCAGCAGAGCCTGCTCTGGGATGGAGGCAGAGCAGGGAAGACCTCCAGTGCCATGTGACAGATCCCTGCATCCCAGGTGCAGCCAGCTATTGGAGAGGTGGATGCAGGAGTGCCTGCCTGCAGCTGTGTGCCCTAGGCAAAGCCCTCCTGGTTGCCTGAGGACTGAGATTCCCCCTTCCTGTATAGGACTGATGTAGAAAGGTGGGAATGATAGCAAACCTCCCAGGTGTAACTCAGTGCCAGTTCTGGTGCCTAGTGCTGGCCCCTCTATGATGTAGGTATCTTTTGGGGCTCAAGGTGGGAAGACTGAACCTGCAATGGCCATTCCTAGGCAAAAGGATTGAGATGTGCCATGTGTTTGTCATGTATACTGTCAGGTATCACCTGCCTGGTGGGTGGGCCAGAGTGGGCCACCAGCTCTGGGAGACCAGGTAAATGTGTGCAAGTTGATCGTGCAGGTGACAGAGGGGACTAGAGAGTTTCCTCTTGATTTTAGGCATGTGTGAAAACCACTTGGTGCTGAGGACAAGGCAGCTGGTGTTGGTGTCTGACAGCTAAGCTCTGTGTGATTTAGGGGGTCTAAATCTGTGACTTACCTCATCAGCTCTCAGCTGGCGAAGATACTTGATGTTTCTTCTTCTGTGCTCTCTGGAAAGATGCCTTGGACCAAGCCCAGTGCTTGACATGGTCAGAACAGGAGTTGGTCATTGGATCTCAACCAGACACAGCAGCAGAAAAATGCTGAATGATCCCTGACTGGTTTAGCTCACCCGGCAGGAGCTGTCTGGCTGCATCAGCTGGGTACAAAGCTTGAACTGGTTAGCTGTGCCAGGAAAGATTCTAATGGCCCTAATTCAGCTTCACACACTTTGGCTTCACTCCTTTCTCAAGCCTAAGTGGCCTTGAATAGGTGCATTAAAACCACTTGGTAGCAGATTGGCTTTTACTGCTGTTTTTGGCTGTGCTCCTTGACTCAGCTTTTACCGATGGGAATAGGCCTGCTCAGGGAGCTGCATCAGCTCTTGGACTCCAACAAATGCTTTAAAATGGTGTAAATCCAGATATGGAGCTTTGCAGGTGGCTAAACCCCAAGTCCTGGTCTGCTTTTTTGCTAGGCTGGGGTGTGGATGTGTGATACATGGCCAGTGTTTGTGAGAGAAAGGGAGGGATCCCTTCCCTGGAAATGCTGACAGCATTCCTCCTCGTGCAGCCCACAGAGATATTGGCTTTCTTGCTGCAAGGACATCCTGCTGCACTGTGGTCACCTTGGTGACCACCAGGATCCTCCAGGCCTCTTTTGCCATGCTGCTTTCCAGCTGGAGGGCCACCAGCACACATCGATGGAATTGTTCCTCCCCAGATGTGGGACTTCACACTTCTTCTGGAACTTGAAGGGGTTCTTGTCAGCTCATATTTTCCAGCCTGCTGAGGATCCTCTGGATGCCACCACAACCCTGTAGCATACCCAACACTACTCCCAGTTTTGTGCCTTCCCCAGCTTTGCTGGGGGTGCACCCTGCTCCAACATTCTGGTCTTTAACTAAGAAGTTAAACTGATTATGTCTGGCTTACACCACTAATGACTGGACTCTATGTGTAATTTGTGCCACTGATTGTAATGCTTTGAGCTCAACCATTCAGCCAATTTTCAATCCAACTTGCTTCACATTTATTTAGCCCATACTTCATTAACTTGTCTGTCAGGATGTTATGGGACAGAGTGTCAAAATGAGGTGATGCTCCAAATTTGCTACAGCAGGGTGAGGAACTTCTGCAGCTCACGTGGGCTGACTGTGACCAAACCTAATGTTTCACTTCCAGAAGTACTGCCAGTCTGTGGCTCTTCTGGAAGGCGTGTGGAGAGCTGGCAGTGGAAATGGAAGTACGGCAGGAGTGAGAGAGAGCCCGTATCCTGGCTGAGGACACAGTTCCCCTGACCAGCTGTGGTCTGTCCTGTCCCACAGGCAGGGCTCCTGGAGGAGCAGGTCAGCCCCCACCAACACCTGTGGCCACTTTGCTTTTCATCATCTTGTTTTTATGAGCGAGTGAAGAGTGGAAAAATCTGTTTCAGCACAGAGCACCACAGGGTCTGTCACAATCCTGGACTTGTTTGCTAAGAGCAATAGTTTTGGGTATATACAGAGCCAACAGCTGAGCTGGTGTGGGAAGCTTCTATCCCTGCATTTTGGCCTGTAAAAATTCTCTAGAGAGAGCTGCTGTTTGACATTCCCCTGTGTGGCAGTGGGACGGGGCTGGGTACAGACCGTGCTCTGCTCCAGTGTCCGTCTCCCTCTCGTGGTGTGAGAGGGAGCACAGCCACATGTGCTGCTGTGGAAATTGCAGCAAATATTCAGATCTCCTGTTTCAGAGGGCTCACAAACAGCAGTTCCCTTTCCCTGGCACGGTGCAAACTCTTTGTGCTCTATCTGCTGCTATGTGCACTTCTCTTAATGATGTATGTTCCCAAAATTACCAGTTCTCCTTATGCACACACATCACTTCCCTCCTCTTCCTACCTGCTCTGGAGATCCACTGTCCTCTCTGTCCACCTTGACATGCTCTCATGACTCACCTTCTCAGTCCATGCAGCTCCAAGAGTGCATAAGTGATACCTGGAAACCAGCTTATTGATTAGGAGTGGCAGTCTCTGTATCCTGGGATAGGAGTGGGGCAGGAATGTGTGAAGAGCAGGTTGTAGCTGTCTTACAGCTACAGTAGTGTGTAAAAAAGCTCTGCTCTGTCATGGCAAAATAAGTGGCAAGTTTAGAGAGAGGTGCAGACTCTCCTCCTGCAGACTGGTGCTCTGAGTGCTGGGGTAGAAAACAACTCCTCTATTTCAGCTGCAAGTTTTTCAAGGTATTTGTTCAAAACGTTGC